TCAAAAAGAATAAAATACTTCAAACTAAACCTGAGGAGAGAAAAGACCTCAACTTGGAAAACTGTAAGAAACCGATGAAAGAAGTTGAAGATGACACAGGCAGATTAAGTATGCCGTGTTCGTGAATTGGAAGAATTAATATTGTTAAAATGACCATACTACCCAAGGCAATCTACAGATTCAGTGCAATCCCCATCAAAACACCAATGACATTTTTCACAGAACTAGAAAAAATCTAAAATTGGTAGGAAACACAAAAGACCCCAAATTGCCAAAACAATCTTGAGAAAGAGGAACAGAGCTAGAGGTATCATGATCCCTGACTTCAGACTATACTACAAAGCTATAGTAATCAAAACAGTATGGCACTGGCACAAAAAAAACAGGCACATAGATCAAAGGATTAGAATAGAGAGCCTAGAAATAAACCCTTGCACTTACGGTCAATTAACCTGTGACAAAGGAGGCAAGAGTATACAATGGAGAAAAGACCGTCTTTTTCTTTTTTTTTTTTTACTCTTTTTTTTTTTTTAGACCGTCTTTAAAACAAGTGATGTTAGTAAAACTGGACAGCTACGTGTAAAAGAATGAAGTTAGAGTATTTTCTCATGCCATGTATAAAAATAAACTCAAAATGGATTAAAGACCTAAATGTAAGACCAGAATCCATAAAATTCATAGAAGAAAACTCAGGCAAAAAAGAGAAAACTCAGCCAGAACCTACTTCAACATAAATCATAGCAATGTTTTTTTTTTTGCATCTGTCTCCTAAAGCAAATGAAATAAAAGCAAAAATAAACAAATAGGACCTAATTAAATTTAAAACTTTTACTCAGCAAAAGAAACCACTGACAAAACGAAAAGACAGCTTACTGAATGGGAGAAAATATTTGCAAATGATATGACTGATAAGGGGTTAAACTGAAAATATATAACCAGCTCATACAACTCAATATCAAAAAACAAATAACCCAATTGAAAAATGGGTGGATGACCTGAATAGACATTTTTCCAAAGAAGATATCCATATGCCAGGACCAGGAAAAGATGCTCAACATTGCTGATTATCAGATATAAATCAAAACTAAAATGAGATACCACATCACTCCTGTACACTGTTGGTGGGAATGTAAATTGGTACAACCACTGTGGAAAACAGTATGGAGGTTCCTCAAAAAACTAAAAATAGAACTACAATATGACCCAACAATTCCACTCCTGGGAATAGATCTGAAAAAAACAAAAACACTAATTTGAAAAGATACATACATTCCAATGTTCATAGCAGCATTATTTACAATTGCCAAGATATGGACGCAGTCTCAAGTGTCCATCAAGAGATGAATGGATAAAGAAAATGTGGTTTTTCCAGAAATAGACTCACAGACATAAGAAAACAATCTGTGGTTACCAAGGCGGGGGGGGGGGGCAGGAATAGATTAGGAGTTTGGGATTAACACATACACATTACTATATATAAAAGAGCACAAGGAACTATATTCAGTTTCTTGTAGTGAGCCATAACAGAACCTGAAAGTATTATATATATATATGTATGTATATGTATAATCAATCACTTTGCTATACACCTGAAACTAACATTGTAAATTGACTACATTTCAATAAAAAATAAGAATTTTTAGAAGTTTGGTTTTTATATATGTAATTGAATACTATTGGGCCATTAAAAAAAAATTAATTTTGCCATTTGCAGCAACATGGTTGGACCTGGAGGGTATTGTGCTTAGTAAAAATAAAACAAACGAATGTAACAAAACATAAGTAGACTCACAAATATAGAGAGCAAGCTCTGTTGGTTACCAGTAGGGAAAAGGAAGAGGCGAGGAGCGTTACAGGGGATTACTCTGTATAAGGTGAATAAGCTGCAAGTATATATTGTACAGCAAAGAGAATATAGCCAATATTTTATAATGACTATAAGTGGAGTATAGTGTTAAGATTTTGAATGACTGGGTTGTATACCTGAAACTAATATAATATTGTAAATCAAGTATACCTCAATAAGAAAAAATCACACTTGTGCAAATTGGGGCTTGGGGACTAGCGCAGAAATGCCAGTGTTCTGGTTCCTGCTACTACTGTGACTAACAGATTGTCTTCATCACTGACTTAGAAATCCTCATCTTCTTCCAGGATCCAAAAAACTATGACCAAGTAACTTAATTTGCAAAAGGATAAAATTTTAGACTCTTCACAGTTCTTGACAATGTGAAGTGGTATAAGATTATTTGATGGTAGATAATAAATTAAATGTATATATTATAAACTGTACAGCAAACTGTACAAAAAAAAAAAGAGAGCTGGAGAATTTAACTCATAAGCCAAAGATGGAGATTAAAAAGAATCATAATTTATACTCAGTCCAAAGGCAAGCAAGAAAGTAGAATGGATAATAGTGCAACAAAGAGAAAGTAGTAAGCAGTGAGGTAGACATGGGTCCAACCACATGAAATGGCTCAGTTACGAGATTTTCAGATTGGATGAAAAGATAAGTGGTGCTATCTGTAACAAACTCACTTTAAATATAAAGACATAGGTTAATAGAAAAAGGATGAAAGTCTTACCATGCAGGCACTAATCAAAAGAAAGTCAGAGTGACTGTTAACAGTAAAGTAGACTTCAGAACAAGGAATATTACCAGAGAGAGAGAAGGACACCATGTAATGATAAAGGGGTCAGTTCACCAAGACATAACAACCCCAAACATGGATGAGCCTAACAACAGACATTCAAAATACATGGAGCAAAAGCTGATAAAATTGCAAAGAGTAATAGACAAGTCCATAATATCACTTCTTTCTCAGTAACTGATACAACAAATAGAAAATTAGTAATGTTACGAAAGATCCAGATAGTGATACCAACCCACTTGATTTAATTGACATTTATAGACCATTTCACCCAGCAGCACCAGTGCACATAAAACACATATGTTCCCTGAGATAGATCATATTTGTGGCTGTAAAACAAACCTCAACACATTTAAAAGATTTGAAATCATATAGAATATGCTCTTGACCACACTGAAATTAAACTAGAAATCAATAAGAAAGGTATCTGGAAAACACTCAAATATTTGAAAATTAAAATCTGTGGGTCAAAGAAAAGAGTTCACAACGGAAATAAAACACATTTTTAAAGTGAGCAAAATGAAAATGCAATATATCAAGATCTGTGGGCCACAGCTCAAGCTTAGAGGGAAATTTACAGCAATAAATGCTTCTATTAGAAAAGAAGAAAGGTCTTAAATCAACGATAAGATTCAACAATAAGAAACTGGAAAAAAAGAGAATAAATTTAACCTAAGGAAGTTGAGCATCTTACATATTGTTAGTTAAGTTTCACAGGCAGGACCCCAAACTAGGTCTCTGACTTTGAGCAGTTCATGGTGTACGCTACCATGATGTCTAAATCTGTCTGGTTATACATGTTTGATCTGTGTCTTGTTCCCCAATTACATTGTGTCTTTTTTTTTTTTCAAAAAATTTTCTTTCTTTTTATTGAAGGTTAGTTGCTATACACATTGCATCTTTCTTGAAGACACAAAATATCATCTATTTCCTCTGTAAATTCTCTGGATACTCTCTTCCACTGAATAGGCTGTCCAGGGTATCATCGATGTACTGATTAAAACACAGAAACTTGAAGTAAAACTAAAATTCACAAAGTATTTTCACTGAATTTTACATGTATAAAATGTCCATTTTAAAATAAAAAGAGACTTAATTACTTTTTATGAAAAATCAGTTTCAGTACCTGCTGTGTCTGTAAACTCTGCAAACAAAATTTTATCCCAGAATTCCCCAGAAGAACTTAAAATCTGACTTGGAAAAAACAAAACCCATAGGCACACGTTGAAAACCAGCCTGTCATGGACAAAATAAGCAACTCGCAAAGGAGCTGGTGCCAGCAAACTGCCTGAGATAAAGAAATGATTTATCTGGAGTCAGCAGCAGTGGAGCCTGCCATTGGCTGCCTTTGTTTTCAGTCATTCTCAGTCTCTCAAGGCACGAGCTTGTTAGGGTTCTGGCTCCCGCTGGGTCTCTGCTTTGCAGGATTTATGTCCTATCATGCACTTTCCACTAGGACGGTTAGGGGAACAATTATTGTACACTTGAACAGTTAATATTTAGGAGAGTGACCCGGAATGAAAATGTATTAAAATATTTGAAAATAGCCGTTAGTAACTTAAAATATTTTATCTATAAAATAGAAAACATATGATTGGTAATGGTCAACTTTTTAAAAAATGTAAATATTTATTTTTTGCATGTCTGCCTATAAACACTTGTCTATAGTGTACATAGTGTATATAGTTTAGTCTGTTGAATAAAAAGTGACCTATGGTGTTCTTGAATTATCAGCTAATTTCCTAAGAAATGATGCCATTCTTTTAATGACAAGCGTTAAGAGATAGTGTTATTTCCATAATGTTACTGTGTTTGCATCTTGCTACATAGTTCAGGCTGTGCTATGACAGGACACCAAAAAATTACAGCTTGCTGTTGATTATCCCTGGTGGTCAGGGATAAGAGTGTTGTGTATAAATTAAATTTATAAATAATCCCCAAAACATCATTTTAGCCATTAACTTCAAATTCCTTTCTTATTAAGACTTTATATTAAGCTTCAATATTTATAGGTTTTAAGCTTTAGCTTTCTCTTCCCACCTTCTAATGGATGCTGCTGTTTAAGTGAAATATAATTGCAAGGTGAGGCAGCACAAGGAAGAGCAGAATTCAGGAAGCTGCTTAACGCACAGAATGGATAATCAGCCCTGAATATTCAGGGGCTGGCTCTGATTCAGCCATCAAACCCTTTAGAGAGAGGACTGATTCAGGAGAGCTAGTGAATGAAAAGCCAGATCCCTCTAAGAAATGGAACTATGAGAGTTTGACTACCATGTGAGAAAGGCAGCTACTGAAAATACATCTCATACATCTACTTGTTTAAAAAAAAAATAACACTTCACATTCCAGGTGATCACCTTCTTCAGCTCAAGGTTGCTGCAAGCTGGAGCTGAGCTGTCAGTGGAGCGGGTCCTGGAAATCATCAAGCAAGGGGTCGTCGCGCTGCCCAAAGACAGGCTGAAGGTAAGACTGGCGAAAGAAGCATGCTGTTGTATCACTCGATGTAAATATTAGTGTCTGCGCGGGCTCTTTTCAGAATTATATCACTTACCCAGCACTTGGGCCACAAAAGGCTTTCTGAATACCGCCTGCTCTACTATATACTGGCACACAGAACTGTGATGAAGGATTCTGACAGTTTTCCAAAAGAAGTAGCAAAAGAAGGACTGTCTTCATACCACTGCATACCCTATGAGTAACCACTGCATATACTATGAGTAATTCATGCACTATGAATAACGGAGCACCTTATTTTTTTAACCCAGTGAAATAAACTGAGTCTTGTAAGTATCAAGAGTTGATGGGAAGTTGGTGGTGGTGGTGGTGATGGTGTCACTTCGGCAATAGGTAATACTTGCATAGTGTTTACTCAGTGGTTTTGGGAGGGACTAAGTGTCTTACATATAATAACTCGTTCAATCCTTGCAGCAAGTCCTTTGAGGGTATGTAGTGTTATCATCCTAATTTTCTGGGATGGGAAACTGGTGCACAGAGAGATTAAGTAATTTACCCAAAGTTTCGCACAACTAGAAAACTAGAGAACTAGGAGATTCATACCCAGGTAGTCTGGCTTCAGAGTCCGTGCTCATAATCAGCACGCCGTTTACTGTATGCCTGGGTAAAGCTATTGAAAGAGGATCATTTCATGGAAGAGGTAGGGGAAATGCTGTGTTTTGAGAAGGCATTCACATGTGTGTAGTAGATGAGTTCCTGAAGTGATCTCATGTTATAAAACTCAGACTTCAAGACTAACTTTCCCATAGAAGAAGATATTTGGCAGAGTGCATGAATGTACAGCATTGTTGCCTATTTTTACATTAATACTTCTTTTAATTTTTTCCTCCATTACCTCTAATATTTTAGAGTGCTTACTCCTAAATTAACAGCACAGGGCGTCATAGTGAAAGCTTGACCTTCTTCGTAGTGTTTTATCACAACTAACTTCTGTTCAAGCGTTACCGTTTTGGGGGGCTGTGTTTTTTAGCACTATCACTAGAACCACTGCTTAATGAACATTGTAGGATATGAAAATATTTTCAGTTATAATAACAGAGCGTGTGAAGCAACAGCACATTAGTCATAATCACTTGCAGAAGTTCCGCTGTACGTAAACAGCCGTGCTGTTCATGTGGTGCTGAGCAAAGGTGGGGGTGTTTCTGTTTATCAGCTAAAATGGCACCACCATGTGGCAATTGCTTAAAAACTGATTATAGTTCACCAGGACCCCCCCCCCATATCTCCCTTTATTCTCTTCCTGACAATTCCTTAAGTGTGAAGAAGTCTTATTATTTCCTTTCTTACATAAAGTAAGACATCTGAGGTCTTTTGGGGTTTTTTTCACTGTTTCAAATTTGTTTCAACTAAAAATACCATGTTAACCAGTACAAAAATCCATGATGATTAAACTGGCAACTCACAGGAAGTGATGGCTCTTGGTGTTTAAGCTAAGTCAGGAAAGAATTGGCTGCACCAATTTACATTCCCACCAGCAGTGTAGGAGGGTTCCTTTTTCTCCACACCCTCTCCAGCATTTATCATTTGTGGACTTTCTAATGAAGGCCATTCTGACTGGTAAGAAGTGATACCTCACTGTAGTTTTGATTTGCATTTCTCTAATAATTAGCAAAACTGAGCATCTTTTCATGTGCCTATCTGGATGTCTTCTTTGGAGAAATGTCTATTTAGGTCTTCTGTCCATTTTTTTGAGTGAGTTTGTTTTTTTTTTTTTTTTGGTATTAAGCTGTATGAGCTGTTTGTATCTTTTGGAAATTAGTCCCTTGTTGCATCATTTGCAAATATTTTCTCCCGTTCTGTAGGTTATCTTTTCATTTTGTCGATGGTATCCTTAGCTATGCAAAAGCTTTTAAGTTTAATTAGGTCCCATTTGGGTTTTTTTGCTTTTATTTCCATTACTCTAGTATGGAGGTTTCTTAAAAAAACTAAAAATACACTTACCATATGATCCAGCAGTCCCGTTCCTGGGCATATATCCAGAGAAATCTATAATTCGAAAAGACACATGTACCCCCAAGCAGCACTGTTTACAATAGCCAAGACTTGGAAACAACCTAAATGTCCATCGATAGATGACTGGATAAAGATGTGGTATACATATACATATATATGTGTGTGTGTGTATACACATACACAATAGAGTATTACTCAACCATAAAAAAGAATGACATAATGCCATTTGCAGCACCATAGATGAACCTAGAGATTGTCATATTAAGTGAAATAAGGCAAAAATAGAAAGACAGATATCACATGTGGTATCACTTCTGTGTGGAATCTAAAAAAACAAAATGGTACAAATTCTATTTCCAAACCAAAAACAGACTCATGGACGTAGAAAACAAAAACTATGGTTACCAAAGGGGAAAGGGCAGGGGAGGGATAAATTAGGAGTTTGGGATTAACAGATACACATTACTATGTATAAAATAGGTAAACAACAAGGACCTACTGTATAGCACAGGGAACTATATTCAGTTTCTTGTAATAGCATATAATGGAAAAGAATCTGAAAAGAAAAAATATATATATATGTATATGTATAACTGAATTGCTTTGCTGTACACCTGAAACTAACATTGTAAATCAACTACACTTAAATGAAAGCTGAAGTTAAAAACAGCAAAAAAGAAAGATGTGGAACTATCCGGAGGTTAGAAGAAAAAGATAATGGAGTCATGGGGAGGGGGTTTTGATGAGATCAAAGAAGCAGCAAAGTAGAAGTAATGGAAGCTGTGATTAGAGAGCAGTATATTTATACTGAAGATATTAAAAAGGAGCAGATCTCAGTGACAGCATGGTCTGGATTTGGCCATGAGGAGGGGGACTGAAGTGATATGAATGTGAATGAAAGTCAGTGTGATTGAGCCAGTTAATGAACTGGAAGCCAAGGATGGGTCATTCACATGGACATTGTAGTCCCCCAGAATAATAGGCCATAGCAAGGAAAGAAAGACTGTGAGCCAGATGCTACAGTAAATGAGAGAATGGCCTTAGAGTCAGTCAGTGGCAGCTATAAGGAAGAGAAGAAGCTGGTACCAGCCTCATGTGAGCAGAGCTTTGTACTTAAAGGTAGAGGAATAATAGCCAAGGAACAACAATGAAAGCAAAGAGGACACCAACCGCCCCTCCAGACCCCAAAGGCTGTGAGGTGTGAAAGAATGAGCAGCCTCTATTTCCAAAGGCTCCAAGGGTTTGGGAGTCCTGAGGGGAGTACCAGGTTTCAGTTAAGAAGTGAGGCGAGGGGAGAGGGTATAGCTCAGTTGTAGAGCATGTGCTTAGCATGCGCGAGGTCCTGGGTTCAGTCCCCAGTGCCTCCACAAAAAAAACTAAAAATAAATTAAAAAGTAAATCTAATTAGCACCCCCCCCCAAAAAAAAAAAGAAGTGAGGAGAGAAGGGATTCAGTGCAGGGACAGAGAAAGTAAGAATCCATAATAACCACGAAATCAGGGTTTGAAAAGACAGTGTGGGGTCAGATTTATATCCCAGAAAAACAAATTGCTAAAAGTTGTATATGGTTCACAATGAGAAAGAATATGGTTCAAGGGGGATGGAAAACACATTTTTAAAAAAAAGTGTTGACTATCCAGTCACTGATTGTCCTGTGCAAACAAATAGGAGAACTACATTTGTACTGAAATATCTGTTACTGGCTCTGCGTCACAGTCGCCTCCTCTCTGTGTCGTTCTGAGTGGGGGTCTGCCCAAGGGAAGAGCGCTGGCGTGCACTTTGGGAGGCAGGAGAGGAGGAGCCATTGTCCGCTAGAAGCAGCTCCTGGCTGGCTTGATGCTGTAGATGGCAGGGGTGGTTGATGGCTCCCCAGAGGTACTGAGATTTGCAGCACCTTGGAGTGAGCTCTTGAGAACCACCACTCCAGGGCTGGTCACTTATTTTGTAGAATGTCTCTCAACTGGCATTTTTCTTGTATTATGTCTCCTCGTGATTATACTGAAGTTACGTATATTTGGTAAAAACACCACAGAAGTGATTCTCTGTCCTTCTGGTTCATCATGTCAGGAGGCACATGGTGTCAGTGTTCCTCATTACTGTTAATGTTATCCCTCATCACTTGGTTAACGTGGTGTCCACCAGATTTCTCCAGTGAAAAGTCATTATTTTTCCTTTGTTATTGATTACTATCTTGGGGGTGAGACTTCAGGTCTTTGCTAATATCCTGTTTCTCCTCAAAATTTTGCCCCGATTTTATCATTCATCTGTGGAGCTTACCTGCACAGTGATTCCTGTGGTGTTTACCTGATGATAATTTTGTATTTTATTCTGTAGATTATTATTCAGTGCTTTTATTTAGTTATTTTGTTGCTCAAATTGTTCTCGCTTTGGCTAGTGGGAGCTCCTCCAGGTTGGCTCCTGTATTCTCCCCAGCCCTGGAATCAACCAGTTCTTGAATAAGCTCTGGTTCCTTTTTTTTTTTTTTTTTTTCCCAAATGGTTTTAGGAACCAAGACCTGGGCACTAGGCCACCTTCTTGTTAAGACTTTATATACCCATCCCCTTGCCCATCCTTTTCCCCACCTCCTTTCTCTTTTGTGGGCAGTTTCTGCTTCCTCACTCTGCTGTCATCGCAGTGCTGTCCCAGGTCCCCTTTTGTATCCGTCCCTCCCCTATGATAAACCTTGGCTCCTCTCTTGAATTATCTCTCACTAGTTTTGTCCAATTGTTTCCTTCTTATTCCAATCCCAGATTTTATTTTCTAATTCCTCTAGTGTACACTCCTGGCCCAAACGCTCCTCCATGGCCCACAGAGATACTGAAAGTTAATTTAGTAGTTAACTGTAACACTCACTTTAAAGCAAAGTGAATGACAATGTACAGGCTATCCGTCTAAATGTTAATATGTTGTTCATATATTGTACTGTGTTCAGAAAGAAAGTGCCCTTTATATTTGAGACAGTAAATGTAAATGAGAAATATAACTGTTTGTTTTTTG